CCTAGGTAGTATTCCTTGTTGACCGTACAACCTTGTTGTTAGAACTCATGATGCACCACATTATTCCAGTCAAAGAAAACAGTGAGCAAAACTTTTATATTAGTCGTGATTGGGCGACCAGAATGAGCCGGACAATTGAACTTGTGTTCTGCGCATTGCAGACTCGCGAAACACCACAGTCAATATATCTAATGTCCTTGCGCCTTACATTTCACTTTTTACACAAAACTTATTACAGCCCATCCATTATTTCGAATAGTAAAAAATCCAATATTACACCAAAGCACGACTGACCTTTTATCTGTCAAAAACAAACTGACTATCCAAAATGGCTGTGATGGCAATATATATAACAGACATGTGTACCAACATAACAGAAAAAAAGTGATAATCGAACATACATAACCCACGAAATTTGAAAATAAACGATATTTTCTGTTCACACCTCAAACATTAGCGAATTTTGACACGGAACGAGCAAAATTATGATGCATAAGTATTGCCCCTAATTGATCTAGTCTCTTCAATTTTCTTTACAATTTTTCCAATTTCATAAGTACAGTAGTTGGACGATTATGTGCATCTTAATTTCCCCTTAAAGCACGAAATGTGGTCACGTTCGATATACCATTTTTGTAGTTGGTTTTAATAGGTTTAAAGGTTTGAGCGGTTATTAACATTTCCATTAACATAAATACTTTACTTTTAGCTAAACAAAATATGTTTGGTTAGATATTTAAGTTTGACAAAACCCAAAACGAAACCCTAAACTTACGAAATTGTAGCCCTATATATACTGATCTCTAAAAGCACTCATCAGGAACTCGGTATAGGACAACTCTGTGATCAAATTTCAAGCTGCCACGTACACGTGAAGACGGGTTCCAACAACTATTGCCCGTTTAAAGAACAAGAAAAGGGCTGGAGCTGACGGCCCACCGGCTCAGCTTTTTAAATATGACGATGAAGAGCTGAGAAGGTGCAGAATATGGCCTGCCCAATCCTGAAAAAGGGCGGTCCCACATTCGTTGCCATATTTCGTGGAATAAGCCTCCTCAAATAAGGTACTATCGAGCGTATTGTGAGAAATACTAAACCTCGTCATCAATAAACTGACTGGACCTTATCAGAGTGACTTCAGACCGGGTAAGTCAACCATTGACCATTTTTTTCATTAAAAAAAAACTGAACTGAAATTTCATAAACGTTTAAAATTGCTTTGTCTTTGGTATAGAAGTAAATAGAGAAAGTGAGAAAGTACCTACGGCGTAAAACAAGCAAAAATATTCTTACAGCACTTTTGAAAATCTCTCATAAATTCATGGTAAAAAAAAAAAACGTGCCCAATGATTTTTCAGCCAGCATTTCTATTCACCATTTTCATTAACTGCACTCAAATCCATTTTCTCTGTGGCGGCAGAAGTCGCAAACTTGAGAGTAGTTTCGCCAACGATGCACAAAGATGAAAAAAAAAGTTTAAAGCTTCGAAATCTTAAGCAAAAGACTAAGGGCAGATCGCGAAATAAAAGTAAGAGTGAAAGCGAAAAAACTACTCTAGATGCATTTCGGCATGACAACATAAGCAATAAAACTTTATGAAGTGCATAGCAGACAGTTTCTCCAGCGACCGCTTGCAATCCAACGAAATGGCCAGAACTCTGGCTGAACAGCTGTAAGAGATTACTAAATGCACCGCAGTGAGCAAGGTTTGTTGACAAAATAATATACTTCCTACATGCATGCACAGAATAATGTATGTATGCATTTGTACCTTGAAAATACAGCCGTAAAGTGTGTAAGAGTCTATGTAGTAAAAATGAATTTGTTTGCAGGTAGCTGATGCTCGTCCATATTTCCGGTATGCTACCTCTTTCTCTGGCTTACATTGATATATAATATAGCTAATGCTTAACCTACTTTGGTTTCTTCTTAAATAGAAGATTTACGAAAGTTTATTAGCTAAAGTTATAATTTATTACGTATGATACTTTTATACCCTCCATTAAATTAATACACATCGATTGATAGTACGGTCCTTATAATTTAATGCTTGAAGATTAATTCATGCAAATAGTGATCGTGACTACGCCTCAAATGGTCCATCCGCTTAGTCCAATTTTGGCATACTCTTTCCAACATTTCGGCCGGTACCTCACGAATAAAGACTTGTCTGTATAGACTTAAGATTTAACACAATTTCACAAAAAATAGTCTAAAGGCGTTAAATCCCACGATCTAGACGACCAATTGACCGGCCCCGAACGGGAAAAAAAAATGAACTCGCCTCTCAATATGTCCAAGTGAAATCCCCAAAACAATCATGGAATGCAATAAGAGTGATATATTCAGGAAGGGCATAGAAGCTTTAGCATGGCGGAATTGATCGCTAATGCAATTCTCAGTCGAGCTCTTCCTCCGATGTATGGTGTGCATCTTCATGTTATTCTATCAAATGGAGGGACCTACATTTTATTCTTAAAGGTTTATCCATATAAGCATGAGAACGCAGAAAAAATTCTCTCAATTTCATACAATGGCGACATTTATGTAACCGAATGTCTTAGGCTTTAATTGTATATTATCAACTCAAAATCTCACTTTAAATGGTGCGGCAAAGGCACCATCCTCCGCTTCATATCAACAAGAAGCAAACACCAAGATTACATGTTCGAATAGACTTCAGCACCGTTGAGGTACTGATAATTAAAATTTCTGGCTCTATCTGTTCAAGTTCTGTTTTCCATGGGTTGATGCATGCTTCATCATCAGTAGACCAATTTTCTGTTAAATTAAACAGCCAGATCATCCGCAGACGCTATGACCTTTCAGTAGCCCTCATCCTCCATGGTTCACAAAATGGAAGAGGCAAGAGGACTCCTTCTTAAGTCGATACCCCACGATCTCAGATCAAACGACCCTGCAACCAAGCAATTAGTATATAAAACAAATCACTCGAGAATCGGCGCCCACGTAAGTCAGGGCAGAAGTAACTGTAGGCGGCGCTTTATTATGGAAGGAACCTTCAATAACCAAAAATTCACTAGGCGATATTCTTTGATCGGGATAGATTTCTAAATTTGTGGTACCACCGTGTGTAATGCTTTCCCCTTTAATCTGTCTTTCAAATAGGCGCGTCAGATATATTGATCTGAAATCCTTTGGTTTCTTATAAGATATCTGTCCACATTTGGTAATAAACACAATTTTTGCGCTCCCTGCTTAATTTAGGTGTGTAATTTAGACTAATGACTCCCTTCAATATGGCATACAGGAAGCTGACGCTGATATCCAAGGACTGCTATGATGGAGTAGGTGCAATTTCTTCAGGCCATGGACTTTTTTATGGCTTAAACGTAATAATTGCCCATATCATCTTGCTTTTGTTGGGAGAAATTTCAATATGGGCACTTCCCGCTGGTTGGAATGGTAGCATAGCATATTCATACAAGCAATTTTAAGTACGAATGTTTATATTTAATATTTACGCTCAAATATTGAAAAAATGAAATTCTTCGGTAGTCTCAAAAATTAAATTTTAATTTTCTTGCGATTTCACTTGTACAAACGCTTCCAGTGTTGCGCCGCAGTAACTGTTTTAAATGGTGCTTTTATTATGATAGCCAAATCGGTCCAAAATTTCAGAGTCTACGCTATGCAGGAGGAAGCTAAAGTTATGCTTCTTCGGCTTCTTCTCCCTACCCGTGCGCATTTAAAACAATGTTGAATGGGGACCAAGACGAACGACTCAACGGCAACGGACAACCAAGGCGAGCGTAAATTCGCTAAAATTTTCGAAAATAACTAAAATACTTATTTTTTGCCTTACAAACTGTTGCTTCCACTAAGTGTTCCGCTTAGTGCTTGCCAACTCCTTCGTAAGGACACCGCTGCAAATTTGGCAGCTGTGATAACAATTCTAATGGTGAATAGTGACGACAGACGCGGAGCGCAAACACAAAATCTGCAACCAAGCATAGCGAATCAACGAAGCGCGTGTATACATATTTCCCAGCCCATTGGCAGGTGCAAAGTTGCGAACAAAGACCGCGTAGCGGTGCGTTAGTGTATGTGTGTTTTTTTTCTTCGTCTACGTGTACGTGAGATTGAATATGTTAGGAGCAGCCGTGTCGTAAAACGTTTCGCTAATAATTCACAAACAATCAGCGACAATAAAAACAGTTACCAACTTAATTTCCGATTAGCAGCCGCAGAAAATCAGCCAACTCCAACAATTATCAGGCGGGTAGCAAGTGTTGTTAATTCTCTCGATTGCATAACTGCTCTCTTTATTTTCTATTCATTATTTTTGGAAATTTTCTTCTTCTTTTTTTCGCCTCATTCGTCATTAAGTTTAGTTTACGCAAATCACGTTTCACCAATGTTAAAAGAATACTACGAAAGTACAAAATTTAATTTATGGCGTAAGTAAAATATTAATCTCTTTTAGATGGTCCCCTAATATTCAAAAGTGTATTTCTAGTCATAGGAGCGCGGATTTGAATTCAACATATTCTTACCATCTTACTATGTTCACAGGCTATTTTCACTTTGCTGAGAACAGTATTAACATAGTCGGTATCATAGATTATTTCTTCTTACTAACAGCTTACTATCCTTACTAAGTACCCAGTTATACCCCTGCATGGAACAGTACTAATAGTTAACTAGGATCCAAATAGTTTACATTTTCACAATAATTAATTCACCTTCCGTCTATTTTCTATGTAAGCAACCGGTAGTTTTAATGCCGCGATGCCCTACGGACTGGTTCGTTTATAACAGTTAAAAGTTAGTTTGCCTCTGTCAGTCAGTCTGTATCAGTCATGTAGAAAAAGATTCTATAACTATTTGTGTATTGTATATGAATGTATTTACTTAAATATAATTTTTTTTTTGGTCATTTAAAATGGTTTTGAAAATATCTTTTCACGACAAGTTGATTAGAGACTGACTTATTTGAAAAAAACACACTAACGATTCACTTTATTTTATTTCGAGAAAGTATATCAGGTATCAATCTATATATTTGAAGTTGCATTAGGACTGCTCAAAATTTTCTATATTTTTCGTAGTCTGACCATGCTTGGTCGGAGCATCTACCCTGGAAGGGAAAATCCACTAGTATGCAAGAATTCTATTTAAATTTAGTATGTTGAAGATGAAATCATACCAGTTCGTTATTTGAAAAGAAGTCCACCAATAATGGGAGAAATAACAACTTCCACCACTTTTTTTTGTTGTTATATCGGCTGAATTCCATTTTCTGCTCTGTTGTGCGCAAAATTACATTCATCGTCCCATCGTCATTATAGCCGAGTGGTTAGAAGTTATCTCTGTTGCACGTTAAATCCTTGGTTCGAGCCCCACTATAGGCAAATTAATTTTAAAGTTTTATTTTTTTTTTTAATTTTTGTTGAAACAGAATTTTTTAATTTTAATTTTTGTTGAAACAGAAATATTTGATTTTAGTGTTTTATTGAAGCAGAAATTATTACCTTCAAGTCGTTTGTTGTTTTTGTTTTTAGGATGACACGGCTGAGTTTCATTTCCTAAAAAGTTCTGTTGAAATACGCAGATTTCGTTTCTCTATGAATCAGAACAAGTGGTTAGAGGTCTTCACTGTGGTGCATTTGGGTCTCGTTCCGATTCTTGCAGCCGGCAAACTGAATTGTATTTTATTTAGTTTTTTTTTTTGCTTGGTGAAGTAGATATTCATCGTGCCTAAATGAACTAGTAGAACTAGTTAACTTAAACAAGTATGAATCTGATGCATAGTAGTTAGATTATTTGACAACTAGTATTTATCCCTGCAGGGTAGTTACTTAGGAGTTTTGCTATTTTTTGTGCAAAATAGTTTAGATTTTAGAGAAAAATATTATCTTAATTCCAAACTATGGAAAACTAGTATATTTTTGTCCTTTAATTACTAGTATAATTATATTTCAAAAAATACTAGTATTTAGCAAGAATTTTTGCATACTAGTCTAGCTTTACTCTGCAGGTATACTTAAAAATTTGATGTACCATTAGGTCTATTTGTAACGCATTAGAGTACTTAAATTATGCTTTCATGAAATGCACGAGTGGTCCAACTTATGCCTCGATGCCATCTTGTTAACCGATCATTGCTGGAGTTTTGATGATTTCAATGGCCACACAAAATTGCAATGAAGTAATACTTTGTAATCTTTATATCTTTTTTTTTTTGAAGGTAGTTTTTATGTTATAAAAAAATTTCTGGACTTTCAGTGAAAGACATTTTTTGAATAATAAAAAAACCTGCTCATTCATCTTCATTGGTGCTTACGCAATTGTAGATGAATCAATAATAGCGCATCATTTGTTCCTTCCAATGCAAATATCATGTGAGACCTCCAGAAATTCCCTCAAATCTGTAGTGACTTAATCTATTCGAACGCCATAACGTACCGATCGTAGCCATTATCTCTTTCTTTGATAGCGTATGCTCGGCAGAGAATGTCAACCTCTACGAATGGCCTTCTAATGCAAAATAGAAGGTGCTCATAAATATCCAAAATCCTTTCGGAGACGACATAGAATAAACAATAGATCCGTTCATACCACCATTTCTTGGGAAAATATCATACCACAAATTGAACGAGTAACTTGGCCGAAAATCGTTTCATTGGTGAAGAAGCGCCAACTCCAAGCTCGACCAGAAGTGTTTATTTGTACTTTGTGGTCGACGGAAGCAAAATATTTGCTCTAACAAATTTAGGAACTAAATCAAACCATAGGCAAATTTGTGCACACAACCATGCCGGCACACAAGCAAACTCTTGTCATGTGGACAGACAGCGATGTCAGCGTAACTTTTGGTGCTACTACACACATTCGTTTATACATTTTTGATCATGAATTACCGCTCCGCTCGACTTCTTGTCCATCACATTGTGGTAGTGCACAAATGTCATTGTGGTTTGGAACAAATAAACCCTCATATCAGTAAATATAGTTGAGTTAGCTCGTGCAGCTATTTCCAAGCACATCTGTATATATAATATTTGTTTTATAATGTTATTTCGAAGGGAATGCATTTTCACGTATAAAATATATTTATATTGTACAACGTACGAGTATATTGGCATTTTCGTCTGTTCAAATGCACTTCACCACTGCAAAGTTAACTGTTGTGGACAAATTGTTACTAGCAATGACAGCCAGGTCTAGTCATGTCCTAGCGGATTTCCGCTCATCCAATACTCGACACAACTTTACAAGCTGCAAGCTGCCAATGTCGAATGAACACTGGAACTCTCTTTGGTTGTAAGTAGATATATATTCGTACATAATGCCCATTTCGTGGGCTGCTCGCCTAATGCAGCAGAAATTCATACCGAATAAAGCAAACTATTTCTGCGCCTGGTTGGATTTATTTGATAAAAGAATCACAATAAAAACTGCTATAAGCGCTTAGAGTAAAACTAAAAATACTGAGCGGAGAGTTTCTTTTTGCTTAATTTCAGAGGTGAGTATTTTTTCAAAACAGTTAATTCAATTTTATTGAAGAGTAGAAAAGATGGAATCTTGTGTAGAAGTTCACGCAAGTAAGGAAAGATTTAATTTGTCATTTACCAGCAGCTCACGACTTCCGGTGTCCTTTGGGTAGCCACCAAACATCCGTTTGGTAGTAAAGTGATAAGGTGAACTCCCCTGCGGTTCTGCGGGACCCACCACCCGTACGAATTTAATCTTTTTTTTATGTTATGCAAAATTCTGTGATAAGAAAGATGTGATGTTTGCAAGATTTTATTTTAAAAATATATTACGTTTGATAATATTTTATGTTGAGCCAAAATTTATGTCTAACAGGATTTTATGTTAAGCAGTATTTCATGTTAAGCAAAATTTTATGTTAAGAAACATTTAATATTTGGCAAGATTTTAGGCAGAGTAAGATTTCACGTTAAGCAACATATCATATTAAGCGTAATATAATAATTTTAACCTCAACAAAATTTTATAATATTTTGCTATATGTACAAATTTTGGTAGGTACAGTGGCTCGGTTCGAAGGTACGTTGAGCAATATTTTATTTTTGTCAATATATTACATCTTTCTAGATTTTATGTTATGCAATACTTTTTGTTAAGCAGTGCTTTATATTGAGAAACATTTAAATATAAGTCATATTTTATGTTAAGCGATGTTTTATATTTGGCAAGGTTTTATGTTAAGTGTTTACGCGAGGTACCTTCTTAGAGTTCCTTCGAAATAAAGAAGCCACTCGCGTATTCGTTTAATTAAATTAACGATAATTTATAAAATTTTAATGTTAGGTGAGCATAAATGAATATATTGATATCATATCTAAATGTATATTAATTTTAAATATTCTCGCCCCGTGCGCGCTTGCCGTTGTATTGCTATGAAATCTCATCTTTTGCTTAACAAGCAAGGCTTATATAACTGCCTGCGCTGATGAAGGCTCGTTAGGGTGCGCACACAAAATTAGGGTTGTGTCCGGTTTAAGCGCACGCTTAAACATACTGGGCCACCCTGCACGATGTGCTGAATTATATCTGTTGGGTGTGATGGAACCAACGATTTCGTGGAGGCCGAATATGGTACTGGTTTATTCTGTGGTTCCGTATGTTATGTCCACTGTTGCATTTTTCTTCGGAAATACGAAACGTTCTCTTGGTATGAGGAACTGTGACCCAATTTCGTTGTCCGTTTCCTGGAAAGAAAAAGTCGGAAGTATACTGCAGCGGAAAGTGCTTTTTCTTAGTTTTTTGTTTGTTAATATTTTGAAAAGGCAGACATGAATGTGTGTCATGCTGCCGATAGGAGCCTACTCTACGGGACTTGTAGAACTTATTTGTAATGCGTCCTTGTGAAACATCTGATCTAGGGGTGATCAGAGTATGCAATGAGCAGATCTTCTCATGATTTGAGTAGTGCGATTGCATATTATTTCTGCTGACCGATCCGGAATTATGATCTGGGGTGATCATTACAGTTTTCTGTATATTTTGACTCGGAGAGGTCAAAATCGCATTTTCCTGCAAGTCTTGACTCGGGGTGGTCAAGTGTGCCTGTTTGTTTTTATCTTGACACGGGGAGGTCAAGGGCACATTTCTTTTATTCCTTCGGTCAAACCCCTGAGTAGGGCTTATATGCAAAAGAGTGTTATGCATATTTTGGCAATGCAAGCATCTATGTCGTGATGTACACCGTTTGAGGGTATGGTGCAACGCCAGACAATTTGTACAAATGTTATTCGTTTTTATAAATTTATACCGTTGGGGTATCGGCAATTTCTTAAATTGCTTGCAATGCTTTAACGAGTGATTCTTTTTGCACAATTTGCACGATTGGTGACTATTCTGTGGAGAAAGAATAGGCTTAGTTATTTTATGCGAAGTAGAGGATTTCGCGAGCTTGTGTTCAACGCTTTCTATAATTTCGAATTGCCTGTAAAGGAATTCTTTCATTTGTTGCCATGTTGGGCACTGCTTTCGGGATACAAGAGATTGTTCCCATAGCATTAGTGAACTTTCTGGTAATGCGGATGAACATATATTGACCAGAATTGGGTCCCAGCTATCAGTGGGTGTGCCAAGAGTTTCGAGCACTAATAAAGAGTTTGTAATTGTGGAATACAAATCAATAAACTCTTCACTGGTTTCTTTTCGAACTTTGGGTAAGTTCAATAGTTTTGTGACCTGATTGTCGACTAATTGGCGCTTGTTTTCATATCGGGAGTGGAGAGCATCCCATGCCAATTGGAAATTGTCGTTAGTTAAAGCGAATCGTTTAACTATGTCTCCTGCTTGGCCTCTTGTCTTATACCGAAGATGGTATAACTTCTGAGCTGGAGATAGCAGGGGGTGGTTTATATATACGGCAGTGAACATGTCTCGGAAAGACGGCCACTCATCGTATCCACCATAAAAGGTTTCAGTGTCACATGGCGGAAGTTGGAGATATATTTCCGGTTCTTCAACTATTTTGGGTCTGGGTTCTATTTGAGAACTAGATATTGGTTGATTCACTGCACTAATTAATTTTAGTTGCTGTACAATTTTGGCTTTGGTGTTTTCATAAGTATCAATACTAAATTGGTGCTTTCCTTCCGCCAGCGCGAGAAAATTCGCGGGGAGGTCTTTTTTGTCTTTTTGGAATAAGACATGGTATGCGTCTTGAACTTGCTTATACCAATCGTCAAGAGAATTATTTTTAATTTTCAGGAGATTTTCTGAAAACTCCTCTATAGGGGAAGAGTTAAATCTGGCACAATATCTCATTAAGCCATCATTTGTTTTGTCAAATATTTGCGCACACGGGTAGTGTGGTTTGTATTTTGTGACTTGATGCTCCATTTTTCTTTCAGCTGCTACATGGGGAGAAGCAGCATTTGTGGAGGGTTGTGCCTTAAGCTGTGTTGGAGACTTCTTTGGGAGTATCTTAGAGGAGATACTTAGCCGAGGGCTTTGATCTTTTGGCATTATGTAAATTTAAATTTATTTAAATGCCTTTTATTAAAATTTATTGTTTTTAAACAAGTCTGCACTTAGACTCGGGGAACTAATGTTGCAGGAAATCGGGTGTAGTTTAGGACTACTTGAATATAAAGTGACCCAGAAGTGTTTACTGCTGGGTTGGGTTGCACTTTGTATGTTTGAATATTTGTGCATATGCTTGTAATGTAATGTTTCAGCTGAACAGAGAGCGAGTTAGATCAACTAATATTTTAATGCACTGAGTGGCTGCACTGTATGTGCGGTTGAGTGTTCGCCGTTATGCTGAAGCTGCGCTTGAGAAAGCACAAAAGGAAATAGAAAAGCAGAGCA